AACCTTCTGTCCAGTTCCTATAAGATTTCTGGTACTGTTATCACTTATACAATAGGGTTCAAAAAAAAATACAACAAACCTCTCCCATCTGCTCCTAAGATTGCAATCAGTTCAGCTTTGCCTGCAGTGCTGTGCACTGACAGCACAAGGAATTATTCTGAGCTCTTAGCACTGTGTCATCCTCCTTAGACATTCAGGCACTTTGTAATGGTCTCGTAGTTCACCCCTGCTGAGCTAGCTGGAAATTACAAAGGAAACAAAAATTAAGTACTTCAGGAACAACCGTTGTTGGAAAACAGGCTGCTTTCCAATTATCTTGCTTATAGGTAGCAAGGGAAGTGTGGTTTAATTAATTCTTCACTCTTCCAGAATAGTTTGCCTTAAGAGGAACTTGAAAGTGCTACACCCTTCCAACATATCTTTGGCTTCATGTGCTTTAGTCCTCACATCATATTCCATGTGGTAGACCCTCAAAGCTGATCTAGTCAGTCCTCCTGTCAGTAAGGCACCATCTTCCATATAGTCCTCACAGGAACCTGGGAAGTACAGTTTTTGCCGAAATATCCAGTCCCACTTCTGTGTATTGGTGCTTCAAGTCCAAACTGGATGAAATGTTTTGGAATGTAAGTTAAAGATTGAAATTTCTTTTCCTTGGAATGCTTTCTAAACCTGCCTTACAGAGAGGATGAGGAACAACTCCTTGAGCACAATGTCACGGTCCTCAAACGTCATTCCACCATTCCCTTTCATGCCTGCACAAAGTGGCATATAATACCTGGAACACCTTTGCACTGTAGTTGCCAATACCTGGACTTGAACACTAACTGGCATCCTCAGATGCAGACAAACAGGTATGAGCCACCTGGACTAGTTGGGGTTTTTAGCAAAAACTTGTTTTCAGCTGCCTCACAGAGAGAAATGGCTAAGAGAAGACATGTTTGTCACTCACTGCTGTCTACATTTGCTCTTAAAAGATGTATCAAGACATGTATTAACATATATTGGTCTGTGGAGTACCTGCCTGTAAGAAACTTGTCTATTCCTTTGTTTTCCCTCCAGTTATTCTTTAAGAAACATTAGGTGGCTGGAGGCTTAACAGAAAAGAAAAAAATCTGTTATTACCCTTACATCATCTATACGTATTGCACCAAAAAAAAAAAAAAAAAAAAATAAGGAACAAAAAAAAAGTATAGAAATAAAAAGAAACTTATGGCAACTCTCCAATCTATTCCTTACTGGAACTATAAATTGTTCTTCTAACTTCAAGTGCAATATGCTTCATTCTCTTTCCTACAAGAAATTTATATTACTCAAGTGAACTGTGAAGCTTGGTGCCAGTACTTATTTATGAGGTTTCTTAAATTCAGATTACAAAATAATTTGCAATTCTGAGTAAAATAGACTAGTTTCTCTTACTCACATTTTCACAGAATCTCTCTTACCTAGGAATAACATGTAAGTATTTGTCTTAGCAACCTTATTAAACCTTATTAAAGCACTGTACAGATTTACTTTTATGTTATAGTACACATCTAGTTACATTCACTTACACATTTCCAGTGGGATACAAAGAAATAAGAAATTTGCACAAGTACTAAGAAAGGAAAAAAATCTGATTCTAACAAATCAAAGTTTGCTACATTAAAAAAAAACCCAAAATATTAAACCAGATACACATCAGAACAGCTTTATTATTGATGCTCTAACATTACCCCTCTAAAGATTCACTATACCTTGAAAAAGCAGAGAGGCACTTCTGGAAAGCATAGATAGCTCAATTAAATCTACTGAAATATCATGATTTTTATGCAGCATTACAGCTTTTTTTTAATTATGGGAAGTACAGCTCAGCACAAAAAATATTCAGTGTGTTTCTAAAAGAAGTGAAATATTTTTAAAAACAAATAATTTAAAAGAACAGTTAGATGCAGAAACAAATTTTCTTTTCTAATTTTACTTTAAGCCCTGCTTTTTTAACTCATGAATAGAAATTCTTAAATATGAAAGTTAAACCTAGTCTGATTTATTTCTATGTCTACACTGGTGGGAATCTTGGAAAGCTTTCATAAAAAGCTAAAAAAATTCTGCAGCCAATTACCACTATAGATATGACAGATTCAGAAATTATTCATATACTCCAGAGCTTGAAACCACAAAATCCTCAGCAAATTTTACAGGGTAGAAGACAAGTAGTCATTAAATCGCCACTTCACTCACACTGCTGTACAATATAAATAATAATACAGAAACCTCCAAGATGTGGCTAACCACATGGCTTGCCAGCATTTAATCCTTCACTGATGAGATATGAGAAAGATAAGGCTGTATTTCATTTCAAAAAATTTGAAAATTTATAACTATATCATTTGAGTTATTATAGCTCAGATATAATTTGCTTTTCATTAAAATAATCTTTAACTATGCATTTTAAAATAAGAACATACAGGAACAGGGACTCTCACAATCGTGACAGACTATTTTCCTCATTAAATATTAAATAAGTAACACCCTTGAGTACTGGGGAATGGGGAGGAAAAAAATTAATTTCCTCAATTAAGAAACACTGAGATTTCTTTATGGTGAAGCTCAGAATTTTTTCTTCCTCATTAGCACTTGCTGGTTTGCCATGTACTTCTCCCTAGTACAGCACAACTGCAGGGCAGAGGATCACTCTCTCTTACCATGGTGTTACCAACCACAGTATGTGGGATACAGCACAGCTGGATGAAACAAAATATCTTAACAGACTATGATGCTGAAAATAGCAACCCATTTTCTTCTAATAGTCATAGCCAAGACACAGAATTTATTTTTCTTTCACTTGATCACATCCTTTAAGATCTCTTGTAGCTTACCTTGGCTATTTTGCTGTCTTGGCTGAGCTTTGAGAACCATCACATAAACACCCCTCTCAATTGTTTGCTTTCCTCCAGGACAGCATGACAGTTCTACAAAAGCAGCTTTAAGACTTAGTGAAAATACAAAGGAAAACATGGAGAAAAGATAATTGTGTATAATTGGAATTTCTATTCCATCTGTGGTGAGAACTGTGTAGGCTCTGCTGAATCAAGCTGAAGATGTAGAGCATACCTGGTGAAGCACTGAGGTTAACTATTATCAGTCATCTCTGAGGGCTTTTCTACCTGAAGTGGCTTGAAGTAGGACAGGTTATAAAACAAATACAGTGTATGAAAAATGAAGACTTGTGATGTTGGGGTTTTTTCATCTTCATTTGGATTTTTCTTCTTTGGTTTTTAGGTTGTTGTGGTTTTTTAATTTTCACTTTCTTTCATCCGATTCCCAACTGACTGCTGTACAAGGAGGAACAAAGGGCAGGGATTTAACTTCTCTTTAAGTGAGGTTTCTAACCCACTTCTATTCAAGTTGTACATTCAAAAACTTGCCTCCTTCGTATTCATACTTCTCTGTACTGCTGTTTAAATTATAAATCACCCATTCAGCAGTGCACAGCATATGCTCCACTGCATTACTTTGTAGTTCCAGGCTTGACCAGCATGGTCTAGAAAGGAAAGAAGCTGTCCTGACCTCCTCCTAGGAGCCTGGGCCAGGAAAAAAATCCAAACTTATACCTTGAGCATATAACCTCTTGTCTTTGTTGTGGGTAGTAATTGTCTTGCAGGCCTGGAAGAGGTCCTATCTATGAAGTCCTTGCAAATCTGGAATCTGCGCTTGCAATAATTGCAATTGTCCTGATGTATATAACCACTGATAGTTCACCATAAAAAAATTACTAAAAATTACTACAGGCCAAGGACAAGGAAGAATAGTGTTTTTATTAACAACTTATAAGTCCATAGCTCTGTTAGATGCAACATTTCAGGTAGAAACTCTTTTTGAAAGGTAACAACTCTTGTCTTGATTTCATGGCAATGATACAGTCTTAAGAAGCCACTAAAGATGGAGTGAGCAAATTGTATCAGACAGTTTTTATGCTGTTTCTTCAAAAATTAGAGTCCACACCAGGATTTGTGAGGATGACAGAAGTAAGGCTTTTTATCACATTAAAAAAAAAAAATCTTACCCCTAACTGATTTTTTTCAATATCTATGAATTTTGATGCACTTCTACCATAAAAAAATGTGTAACAGTGTGACCTGTCACTTGAAAACAGGTTTGGGGGAGGAGATGAGGAAGAGAAAACTAATAGTCCACATACTGATGTTTTTTAGTCATCTTTTAAGAACTCCATCAGCTACAAAGATATGGGCTTTTCCACTTTAAAAAATTAACTACCATTAAAAAGACCAAATTCACAGAAAGACAGATAAGAGAGAGTAAATCAGACTAGAAACCTTTTAGAACAATTTCTTTCCAGACTAAGTGAAAGCTGAAAGGCTGCATAAATGGTATTTCACCTAAGTTACAACATGATAGTCAAGAAAAGGTGTTGATGTGATGCAATAAAATCCAATTGTCAAGGGCAGAAAGGACTGCATTCCCCAGGCTGAGGCAAGGTGTGCCTGGCTATCTCAAGTCAGTGCATCTGGCAACTCCAGCAGATGGGGAATGGCAAGTTATCCATTATTTTCTGAGGTCATATTTGCTCTTTCTGAGGAAATCTAGGGACTGCTGGCATTTCTAGACTGTGGGGGGGAATCTTTCAGGATGAAGGGAGAGAATGTCAAAAGAATGCCCTCAGTGCTATGCAATGCTATTTGGCTGAGGTCACCTAAACCCTGCTCTTTTCACATTAAAAAAAAAAAAGTTTAAAAAAATCAAAAGCCAAGTTTGATCCACAGACTGGAAACGCAAACGTATTCCCTGTGACTCAAGAGGTTCTGAAGGCCTGTGGTAGTCACTGCCACTGGTGAGTGGTGTGAGGTTTGAACAAGCCAAGACTTATGCTCATGGCTAGTGACAACAACACCTTAATGATCCCTTGATTTCCTAGGATCAGTTACTGAGACTCATCTAAAAGTAAACTTCTGGTAAGTTAATCAGTCTGAAAATACAAAGAGCCCTTCTTGTTTCTTCCATAGGACTACACCCTGACCATGTACTTTCAGCAGTCCTGGAGGGATAAAAGGCTCTCCTATTCTGGAATACCTTTGAACCTCACTCTGGACAACAGAGTGGCTGACCAGCTCTGGGTGCCGGACACGTATTTCCAAAATGACAAGAAATCATTTGTCCATGGAGTGACAGTGAAAAACCGAATGATTCGACTCCATCCAGATGGGACAGTCCTTTATGGCCTACGGTACGTTGGGTTTTTTAATCAGCTATATTACTGTCCTGGCAGGAGTGCAGGTAGTACCAATGCCTCTTTCCTCTCCTTTTTCCCCAGTTTCCTAGTGCAGCTGTATGAGTCAGCACATGCTTCATCTAGATGACCACATCACAGCCTAGAATTTTCCACAGAGCAACAACACTACCTTTAATAACTACATCCATAACTAACAAAGCCTAATACCTCTTTTTTTTTTTTCCTGCTCTTCTGAGTATATTTAAACTACTAAAAGTGTTCTTTGTTATCAACTCGTAATCAATCACAGCTTAGACTATCATTTACTTCCTCCTAAAATTTTTTCATCAGCTCCTTAGGACAATGTGAAATTAAAATTTGGAGTTATCTGAAGAAATCTGGCCAACATTTGGTAGGGAATAAGATATTCGTAAGTTTATGTTAATTATTTAAATATTGTTTATATCTCTGAGTATAGGTTTTCTTTGATGTTCCTTGGTTTATAACTGCCTCTTCACACCACAACTGCTTCTTCATACAGTGCAACCCATATTCACCCCTGTAGATGAAAATATATTCTAAAGTTTGAACAGGCACAGTCTAATTATAAGGTACACAACTGTGAAATTAAAACTATGCCAAGCTATTTGTTATGTTGAGAATTTTGCAGAGACTGACTAGGGTTTAATTGCATTATTTTTGAAGTTAAGGTAGCTTTGCTTGGAAATAACATTGTCTGTCTGAAACAACCTTTGATCACTCTTATCATTCAACAGTAAAAATAATGTCTGGAGAATATAAACCTGAAAGCATACTTCAGTTAATCAGAAAAAAAGTTATAAAACATAAAACTTAGCTGAAATACCTCAAAATTTACCTAAGATAGAATTAGGAAAAAAAGAAAAACAAACTGGTGCAGCAGTTCAAAATGAAAATAATATTTGGGAAAGTATAACTTAGAGCTTACTGAAAATAGAAATTGGAAATTACCTTTTAGCCTATAAAAACACAACCTTTTATAACTCAGCACTACCCCTACAAAGAAAGCCTTCCAACCTATCAATTCAAGCTTCTCAAGAAACAGAAAATTATTTAAAAATTATTATTTTGGCTATCCATGAGTTCGCTTTTGAACCTATCAGATTCCCAGGCAGTGCATCAGTTCCTATAAACAACTGCACAGTCAGTTTAATACAGCTAGATCTGTTCTGGTACAGAAAAACTGCTATTTCAGTTATGAAAGAGAAAACAAGGGAATCATGAAGAATGAGTTGTTCTACTAAAGGCTGTTATTAACATCTTCTAAACAGAGCATTTGAAAAATACATCTTTCCCATAGCCTTCAGACCTCCTACAGTTCCTTTCAATTAAACTGACTCCTGCAGGACAGTTACCATGAGAGGAATTTTTGGCCTCCTTTTTTTTTGTTTTTTCTTCTTCCTTTAAAGCCAGGATGCAAATGTATTTACATTCTAGAATTTGCAAAGTGGCAAGAATGTATGTTAGAGGCAAGCACTCCCTCACAAGCAGTTGTATATATACAATATAAACTACCCCTTGAAACGGATGCCATGCATAGGCTTCCACACACGTGCCATACAGCAGATATCAATAACAATCTTCTGCAGAAATAGCAAAAGAAACTGTGATACATCTGGTGAATCTGCTGCAAGTCCTCTCACGTGTTTCATCCCCAAAGCAGCAGCATGGCTGAGAAGTTGTGACCTTGCCACATGCTCATGCTCTCAGGGGTGGTCAGGCAAACCTCCAGTGCAACACCAAAGATGGTCACCTTCACATAACAAGGTTGCTACTTTGTATGATTGAATAACCATTCACATTTGAATAGTTAAGCAACTGTTCTACGACCTTGCAACAGCTGCAGCTCTGCACGTTAATACCCCAGCCAATATCTATCACTTCTTGTGGTAGAGAAACCAAAGAAAAAAACCAAACCAAAACAAAAAAGGTAGAAAAATCCACACTAATATAAAGGGCAGCCTATATCCCGTACACTTGCAGTCTGGTACTACACAGTTCCCTTCTCCTCCCTTACTCCTACCTCATGCCCTTAACATATGCTGCCACAGGAGCAACTCTGAGTCTCCTGGGCTTCTGGGCTGCCCTACCTTCTCACCCAGGTTTCTGGGCTTCCCTACCTTCTCACCCCAGAGAAGGCCACAGGGTCTCAGGATGCAGCAGGGCCAAGTATTGCCAGATGTGCCCACATCCTCTGACAGCATTGTCATCACCAACTACATGCAGGAAAAAAAGTGCTGAGCTGTCAGGTCTTCTTCACAGCTTGAGCTGGTGTACCATGTTTGCTCCAAGGACAAAGCAGCCCTTTAGATGCATCTGGTTGAGTAGACTTTGGCCTGTAGTTACCACACATGTAGTGTTCCTATCCCACAAGAGGGATCTGATCAAAGACAAAACTAGCAAATGAGCAGAAGAAAAAATGACTTTAAGAAACATTAAAACAATTTTCATACAACAAATGTCAATTATTGTTTTAAACTTGCATTAGTGGTCACTTTCCTCATGGTAGATAAATACAGTTCTGTCAGCCTATAGTTACCTTTAGATCATATGAACATCAATTTTTTTATATGCTAGATGATACATATGCCTCATAAGAAATAAAGCATGAGAAAACACTGCAGAAAATGATTTTAGGTAAAATTCAGCATTGCCTGTTAGAAATTTGAGCACAGCTCTGACCTTAGTCTCACAAGTAGAAAAGAAACTTTGTAGCATATTAACTTGCACTTAGCTTCTGTGCAGCAGAAGAGTGTGAAGACAGAATCATCAAACATGTCATAGGTTGCAATGTGCAAGTTTCGTTTTCCTTGCTGTAAGACAGAGTTGGCCTCCCATTACTTGAACAAGAAAGACAACACCAATTACGCTACAGACCAGAGTCTGAGTTCTCAACAAATTAGGTAGGGTTTTAACCCATCCCTCAAGGATGATTTAAATGCTTCCTTTCCCTCATGCCTCCTATTCCCCAAACAATTTTTCTATTTTCAGTTGAGTAAATGCTTCTCTTCAGGCTCAGATATGAAATTATACTGGCTTCTTTAAAAAGAAATTGGAACAATCATAGCAGCTCTAAATAACCTGCTTTGTTTGCATCCATGTACACAGCAGTTTGTCGTTGATGCAATGTTCAGTCTCAACAGAGTTGAGGAAAAATAAACCAAGGTTAATCATTTGACTCTTAAAATGACTAAACAAGGGAAACATGCACGTAATACGCTGGACTGGTTTTAGATCATGTAACAAAGCATTATCACTTCAGTATGTCTCCGTTATAGTATTATTTCTATGATGAACTGAACAACCCCTATAGCTATTTTTTCCAGTAACTTTCAGCTGCTATGTCCCCACCATTTAGAAAATGATATATTCTGTGAACTTGTGCAGATACAAATTACCCCTGAATCTTCTGCCCTCGAAAATTGTGCATTGCTGTTTTGTCTCTTGCTGCAAAAGCTACTTCTGTTAATTGTTCATAGTAGTGAAACGTATATAACCTTACTAACCAAATGACTCCTTTATCCTTTTACCCAAGCAACTACACACACAAACACATTTAACTCCATGTTATTTTTTCCACTGAATTCCATTTCAAATATGTCAGGGAAGTTGAGTGTCACTGTTAATTATTATTATGTACCTGAAGTGTGTGATTCTTCAGTCTCTGTCAGGTACTCCCACCAGCAACTATTATCATTTTCTGTGGTATAGACACCTGCTTCCTGAGAGAAAGAAAAAATTCTCATTGAGTCAGTGTGCAACCCTGCAGCGCTGTTAGGATGGCATATGAGACAGCTCTAGCCTGGTCCCAGTACAGCTGGTAAAATATTGAATACTATTTTATCTACTTAATTTTTACCCCATTTTTAGTAAGTGATTGGATCCCATTAGCTCTAACCCTTTTGGCACTAGCAGTCTCCTATTACTTTTATTGCCTATTCAGGCAAGATTATCTAAAAGTCTCTCCCAAATCTCTAGATTCTTGAACCAACACATGCTGTTGCTTCTTTTGCTTCTCCTTTCTTACCCTTTTCCAAGTAAGATGCTAGACATGTAACCTGTCTTTGAGATATTTAAGAAAACATTAATAATTTATTGTACTGAATTCTATGTTCAAATTCTTATGTCACAATGTCAAGAATGGAAGCTCTGATTTAAATCATCCTTTCCTAGTATTTTATTCTTCTCAGATTTTCACTACCAGAACAATGACATCTTGCTGCTTTGGAGACATCTGTTCTTTTATCATGACATTGCCTCAAAATAAACAGCAGAATTTCATCTGATGTGCTGTAAGGAGCATATCCTTGAAAAGTATTAGTTGTTAAGAGGCATAACATAACTTCAGCAATACCTTTACACAGACTTTTCTCCCTTATGATATTCAGACACCAACATAACTTCCATTAGAACAAGTCTTTATTTCAAGGCAGGGAGACTGAGCATACCATGATGAGATGTGAAGATCTGGCTTGGAGCATTGAAAACTTTTGGTTTCAGTGAGACTGCCATCTTTAAGCTGCTACAGCAGAGGATGCCAGTTTGCTAGACACTGCTGCAACTGCAAGAGGACAAGGAGAAGAGTGATCTTTGCTTTAAATGTAAGGAGTTATTTTACCACTTCTTACACAAATAAAATCTTCTGTGATGCAAACACTGGAAAACAAATCCACCTACCTCCAACCAATTCACAAATGCAAATTGATTCATGCAACATTGGATTTACTAACCACTTATTCATGCAATATCCATTGAAGCCCATCTAGCATATCCTAGAGGTGGAATACAAAAAAGCTATATTTAAATGTAGAATGTTTAGGTTTTAAATATAATCTTAAAAGTGAATTTTAGTGGGAACTTCCCTTCTTGACTGCCTCTATTTTGGTGATATAGCTGTGAATGTTATTAAAGTAATTAGCTAGACATGTGTTTACATCTTTTATTACAGTGAAATCTTAATGGTTTGTGGATTGCTT